TTTGCAAATTCTTGCTGTGCACCAGTTTTAGTTAGACCTTGCTGCACCTTTGCCACAGATGGGACCTGTTGTCTATCAGATGATACTTTGGGAGATTCTGGTTGTGCTCCAGGTTTTGGTGAACCCTGATGTGGTTGTTGGTTTTTAGGGTTCTCTCTCTCTTGATTTGTAGGAGCTTGTATTCCCACAGGTCTGTTAGTCAGACCAGTTTGTCTGCTCCCCTGCTGCTGTGGTGATCCCTGTTGTGGATGAGGCTGAGACTTTTGCATAGGCGGTCCTTGGCCTGACTTTTGGAGACCCTGCTCTTGTTGAGTCCCTTTTCCATGACCTGCTCCAGTCTGTTGCTCTCCAGATGGCTTTCTTCCTTGCTGTTGTGGGGACTTTTTATCCCCGTCGCCATCATCGCCAAACAAACCAAACTTGTTCACAGCAGAAGACACAGCATTCAAGGGGTTGGCCCCGCTAAGAAATTTGGAAGAGAACATTGCGTCTTTGTCCTTCGCCTCCTCCTCGTCCTCCTCCTCACTGGAGTAAGAATCTACCGGACTGTCAGATTCAGAGCAGGAGCTAACCCCTCCTTGTCCTGGCTCTCCAGCAGAGGCCTGGGATGGAGCAGCACCCGTAGAGAGATCATCTACAGCCCTCCTGCTGTGGCTGCTACTGCTATTGCTGCTGCTGCTGCTGCTCTCTGGGCTCTCTTCAGGCTCAGCATCTACACCAGACTTCCTAAATGCATGACAATCAAAGACAAGAAAGCTGTTAGATGACAAGAAAGAAGGCAGTGGGGGTGTAGTGACTCCATGTACAAAGTTAGGATATATGCCCAGCAAATACAATCTGAGGTAAGCTAATCAACCAAACAGAAGGTGAAAAAAACTGAATTTGCAAGAAAAATAATCACATATTCACCGATTAAATACTGTGGGCTTCTCAACCGCAAGTAATCAGTCACAAGTCAACTTAAAAAATACATCAGTGTGGTGCATAATGAGGTTAAAATGCTTCCATTTAGAGAGGTGCATTATTATTCAAATCAAGCAAGTGGACATTTTACAAAATGATTTGAATTTGAATACACTCTAAATGAAGAAGTGACACTGTGTATTTTAATCCAGGCTGCAAAGAATTTGATATAGTCATCAGCTACTGTTGCGTTCAGGACCACGGCCAGAGTCTGAACCTCTAGGCCCATCAAACATCAGACCACCGTCTTTCCATCAGTGTAACAAAAAAGGAGGGCTTTGGTCCTAATTATACATCTAAAAGAAAATGTAAATAAAAAAAATTAAGATAAGTAAGTACCAGCTCAGTGGCCTAGTGATAGAGTGTCCGCCTGGAAGTCCGCCTTAGACTGGGAGATCAGGGTTCAATTCCTAATCGGGTCATACCAAAGACAGAAAAAAATGGGACCCAATGCCTCCCTGCTTGACACTCAGCAGTAAGGGGTTGGATTGGGGGTTTAAACCACCAAATGGTTCCCGAGCGCGGCTGTGTCTGCAGCCCACTGCCCCCCCCAGGGTATGGGTCAAATGTGGAGAACAAATTTCACCCACACATCAGTGTGTGTGAACTAATGGGACTTTACTTTTAACTTTATCTTTAAAAGTGCAGAAAAACCCCTTCCATAATAACTGAGCTGTTGTTTCTCTTTAACCAGTAAAATAAAATAAAATAAAATAAAATAAAATAAAACATCACCTCAGATTGTCTAGAAGTGGGAAAATCTCATGCAGAACAGGATTTTACAGCAAGACAAGTAAACACGAAGTCTAGTGCTATCTCTGGAGAAACTGCAGGCACATCCGGGTAGAGGCCCACTAAATATGCATGAGTAGATGCATACAATAATTTATAATAATCTCCAAACGTATACGTGGCAAAGGTGCTAAAACATGCGAATTTAAATCTGGATGAAGAAACCAGAGAAGGCTGTTAGAGGCGTTTCTATGCACTAAGCATAAGCATCATATAATGTAGGCGAATCTCAAGCATCCACGGAGGTTTCCGTCAGTGGAAAACACGCACGATGCCCGACCATTCTGGGAGATTAGTCCGCAGAGAGGTGATGACAAGTGTTGTGGGGAAAAAAAAGGGAAACGCTACCATTTATGTGCCCTTGACGACGTTCACTTAGTAAAAAAGACACATGATTTTTATCATTCCTGAACAAGTCTAAAACGAACGAAAATCCCTGTCATTGCTGCGAATTTCACGACACACCATCTGCCATCCGCGCCGTGTCTCCCCCTACTCATACCCTCCCCTCCTCCTGCAGCCGAGCATCCTTCACCCTCCACGGTCACAATGTCAAACACCAACGCGCGGAATCCCAGCGACAACCGGGCGGATCCGTACCTCCATCAGGAAGTGGTCCGTCTCCCCATCCTCCCCCTCTGAGCTCGTCGGATATCCCCGCTAGCTCCGTGCCAGTCTACCGCCGACGGATGGAGGGCACAGGGCAGCAGATTGAGTGCGATCAGAGAACCACTCTGCCTCCCGCGCTACTGCGCAGGCGCCGCATCTGACAGGTGATCACCATATATATCACGCACGGAAATTTAAATTAAAAGGGACAAGAGGCAATGTGCGTATCAGTAGCAAACGCCTGGAGATCACCCCCTTGTGTGATTTACCACTGTGCATTTTGTCGGATGTGTTTGAAATGTCATCGTGATCAGGAGCTGTTAAAGGCCGAGCCAGAGCCACACCAGAAATATTCTAGTCACTTTGATCATACATTTGCTCTGCTAGTGCCCATCTTGTTGGGTTGTTGTAGCCCGTTTATGAACTGCGTTGGCTATGTTTGTACAGTTTAACACCACTTCTATCATCTGATCTCAAAATTCCTTTTGTCAATAACTCTCAGTGAAGGAAATAAATAAAAGACAATTCTGCACACATGAATGAATCTTATGAGAAGTTGCTTTTTTAAGTAAATAAACAACCAATCAAATGGCAGAAACTCAACTCAGCTGATGAAATTCCAAATGAGCATCAGAATGTCCAACCTAACTCTGCAGGACACAACTATAAATAACAAACACTTCTCTATTTCTTTCTGTCTTTTTAACTAAATTCCAATATTTCCAGTACTAATTTCATAATAAAATACACTCACTGGCCACAATATTGGGTGAACCTGTTTAACTGCTCTTTAAGACAAATTACTAATCAGCCAATCACGTGGTGGCAACTCAATGCATTTAGACATGCTGGCATGGTCAAGAAAATCGCCTGCAGTTCAAACTGAACTTCTAAATGGGGAATTAAGGTGATTTAAGTGACTTTGAATGTGGCGTGGTTGTTGGTGCCAGACGGGCTTGTCTGAGTATTTCAAAAACTGCTGATTTTGTGGGATTGTCACACACAACCATCTCTGGGGTTTACAGAAAATGGTCCAAAAAAGGGAAAACGTCCTGTGAGAAGCTGTTCTGTGGATGAAAATGCCTTGTTGATGCCAGAGGTCAGAGGAGAATGGCCAGACTGGTTTGAGCTGCTAGAAAGGCAACAGTAACTCGAATAACCACTCATTGTGCTGAAGAGCATCTCTGAACGCACAACATGTGGAACCTTGAGGCAGATGGGCTACAGCAGCAGAAGACCACACCGGGTGCCACTCCTGTCAGCTAAGAACAGGAACCTGAGGCTACAATTCATGTGCAGGCTCACCAAAACATGACAATAAAAGATTGGATAAATGTTGCCTGGTCTGATTTCTTCTGCAACATTTGGATGGTAGGGTCAGAATTTGGCATCAACAACATAAAAGCATGGATCCATCCTGCTTGTATCAACGGTTCAGGCTGGTGGTGGTGGTATAATGGTGTGGGGGACATTTTCTTGGCTCACTTTCGGCCCTTTGGTACTAATTGATTATGGTTGCAACACCACAGCCTACCTGAGTATTGTTGGTGACCATGTCCAGCCCTTTATGGCCACAGTGTATCCATCTTCTGATGGCTACTTCCAGCAGGATAATGTGCTATGTCATAAAGCTTGAATCATCTCAGACTGGTTTCTTGAAACATGACAATCAGTTCACTGAACTCAAATTACCTCCACAGTCACTGGATCTCAATCCAATAGAGCACCTTTGGGATGTGGCGGAACGGGAGATTCATGGATGTGTAGCCGACAAATCAGCAGCAACTGCTGATGCTGTCATGTCAATGTGGACCAAAATCTCTGAGGAATGCTTCCAGTACCTTGTTGAATTTATGCCAAAAAGGATAAATGCAGGTCTGAAGGCAAAATGAGGTCCAGCCCGGTACTAGCAAGGTGTACCCAATTAAGAGGCCAGTGAGTGTAATGTTTGGTCAATCTTTGACTACATTGTGCACAGTTGCATCTCTTCAACCTTGCCTTCATTTTACCCCAAAATACATTCTCTCATCAATTTAAATCAAACCGTTCTGGTTCTATTTTAGTTTTCAGTAGACTGGAAGATGTGATGTAAAGAGAAAAACCTTTATGCATTCTAGATTCTTGACATAATAAAATGATCTATAAACTTTTAATTTTACAGTTTAACCCCTTGGGGCATTTATTTTTACTGAATAAAAGAACTGATATATTTTAGCTAAAGAAATGTCCTTCAACATGCCAACAGACAAAACATGATCTTCATGCTATAAAGACAAAAGGAAAACTATAAGAAAACATATCAGCACTTGGTATGGCATCCATTCTTTTCAGTTTCTCATCCCCACACCAACATGCTAATTCACTCCGAGCCTGCCGCAGACAAATAGAGATGTGAAGTGTGGAAAGCATGAGTGAGATGTGTGGGAATAATGAAGAGCAAGTGTTGTGCGGGTGTGTGGAAGACTTGCGTCATCTGTGATGTGTGAGCAGCAGAATCACCACGGTCTCTTTGGAAAGTGCCAGATTCGGCTTCACTCTACACACCAACACACAGGAACTCGCAGAGGAAACATTCATCAGCACTCCATCTAGGGATAAAGCTGTGACTCTGCTGTGGGCTCATGCATGATCCGGAAATCCACCAAGTCGCCTAATCTTTGATGACTTATCTCTGCCTCATCCTCATAATCCGATTCCTGTTCATATGAATCCTCAGAGGTTAATTTATGTTTATTTATGTGTTGTTGTTGTTGTAGAACAAAACCCACAATCTGTTGGTGTGTATTTCTGTCTATTTTGTTAAGATGTAGTTTTACACTGGCTGTATTTGTGTCTATATAAGGAAGTCTGTAAGGAAGTTGTCATTCAACAATATTATGTAAGATTTTATGACAGCAAGCTCTCACCAGATGTCATTTTGGGCAAGCTGTTGTCTCGGGATTGCTTCAGAACACTTTTTTAAAACACCACTTCCATTATACTCTTATGCAGCAGAAACATCTTTGATTCAAAGGAACGGTTTTAGAGTATTTAAAGTAAGTTTCTTTTTTAAAGTATTCAGCAAATAAATACTTAAATACTGTGGTCAGAGCAATCTCATAATGGAGAATCAGTGAGACATTTCGTGATGGATTAATAAACCTTACTGCTAATCAGGAAAATAACTCATTTAGAAGAGGAAGAAATGTTTAGTAACATGGTGCCTTCAAGGTAAAAAAAAAATCACAAGCTGCTTTGGAATAAACGTCCATCATATAAAACAACTGATTCATTTGTTGTTCCATGTCTTGTTCTTGTTTTGGTCACAGAGCTGGTTTCTAGTCTATCAACAGGCCACTTAAAAACAAAAAAACACATACACCCACTCACACGGTCACACCCAGTGGCAATTGATATAGTCGATAAACCTAACATGCATGTTTTGTCGTCTGGAGATGGAAACTGGAGAACCCTGATGGGGAGAACATGCAAACTTAAAAAGGCAATCACAGTTATCTTCTTTCTAGAAGATTACTGTTTCCTATTTTTCCAACCTGGTGTCCCAGAGCAAAGGGAACCCCAGGTACTGTTTAACACCATCAGCAGCATCGTCTCTCCTGCCTCTCCTACAGCCTCCATCCACTCTGTTACAGACTGTGAGAACTTTCTGTCTTTCTTTGTGGACAAAGTCAATAAGGTTAGATCTAGCATCTCTCCTTCAGCCTTATATCTGCCTCTCCCGACTCTAACCCTGCCTGTCATCCTAGATAGCTTTGCTCCTGTTTCTTTGCCTGAGTTAACCAAACTAGTTAACTCTATGAAGACCTCTGCATGCCCCCTCGACATCTTACCCTCATCTTTGTTTGAGTGCTTTTCAGTCCATCGGTCCCAGCGTGCTCTCTATAATTAATGCTTCTCTGGTCACTGGTCAGGTCCCTGCTTACTTTAAGAACACTGTAATCCACCTGCTTATTAAAAAACGGAGTCTTGACGCCTCTCTCCATAGCAGCTTCAGACCCATCTCTAAACTTCCGTTCATCTCCAAGATCTTGGAGAAGGTTGTGGCTAAACAACTCACAGCTGCTCTTGATCAACATAACATCTATGATTGCTTCCAGTCAGGTTTTCGTAGAGCTCATTCTACTGAAACAGCTCTTCTTGGGGTCTCTAATGACCTTCTGACTCACAGTGATGCAGGGGACTGTTCTGTTCTGGTCCTGCTGGACCTGACTGCAGCCTTTGACACTGTTGACCATCACCTGCTACTGGAGAGGCTGAGAGACTGGGTAGGCCTATCAGGATCTGCTCTGGAGTGGTTCTCCTCTTATCTTTCTGAGCGCTACTTTTCTGTGGCTGTCTCCAAGTTTAGGTCCTTCACCAACTCCCTTACCCATGGTGTCCCACAAGGTTCTGTGCTGGGGCCTCTGCTCTTCATCCTCTATCTGCTTCCTCTTCAGCACATCCTGAGCTCCTTCAAAGGAATCTCCTACCATCTTTATGCAGATGACATCCAACTGTACATCTCCTTTAAGCTCCATGAGATGTCTAAGCTGCAGCTGTTACACACCTGCTTAGACTTTATCAAAACCTGGATGGCTGGGAGCTTTCTACAGCTGAATGAAGATAAGACTGAGATTCTCATCTGTTCCCCAGACAAGCTGGTTCTCAAAGTCAGAGATTCTCTTGGTCAGCTTGCTTCTCACACCAAACCTTCCGTCAGGAATCTTGGCGTGACCTTTGACCCAGCTCTCACCCTGGATTCTCATGTCAGTTTTCTTGTTTGCTCTTCCTTCTTCCATCTCAGGAACATTGCAAAGCTGAGTCCCATTCTGTCCCACTCTGAACTTGAGACAGTTATCCACACCTTCATCTCCTCACGTTTAGACTACTGTAACTCTCTTTTCACGTGTCTGAGCAGAACCTCCCTGAACCATCTACAGGTGGTTCAGAATGCCTGTGCTCAGCTTCTGACCAAGTCCTCCAAACACACCCACATCACCCCGCTTCTCCTCCAGCATCACTGGCTGCCTGTCAACTTCAGGGTTCATTTCAAGATCCTGGTTCTGGTCTATAGGGCCTTACATGGACAAGCACCATCTTACATTGGCAATCTTCTTAGTCCCTACACCCCCAGCAGGTCCCTGAGGTCCAGTGATC